AGGACACGTCCGTTTATACCTCTGCCATTTTTCAGATCTCGTCTTTGTTGTTTTATTAACAAGTCATTGTGATGTACAGGATGTGAGAACAGGAAAAAATTGTGTTTGAGTAGAACTCTTAATGTTACCTCAGAAAGGCTCTGATACTGTGCTCTCCAGGGGCGTGTCTCCCTACATCACCACAATAACCTTTCTAAGCATTCCCAGGGTGATGTTGTGAGACGCGTCCGTGGGCATTACAAGGAGCCTCTGGAAGATTGAGAGGTTGTTCCTTCTACTGAATGGGCAGAGGTAAATCCGCCCACTCAGAAGAAGGAGCTGAGGCTGTGTTTCCCGACATTGCCATGTTAACACTGCTGCTGGTGAAGGAGTGGAGGGGAGAGCAAGAGAACCCTCCACTCTTTCGGCTCCGCGGGCCGGATAGAACAGCTGAACGGGCCGGATCTGGCCCGCGGCCGTAGTTTGCCCATGGCTGGCATAGTCCATGGACATTGACAATAGTGTGGTGAAGGCCTGGGGATGGGCAGGTGGAAGATGGAGGGAGTCAATGAGGAAAAACACAGAAGGAAGTACTTTCAAAAATTAAGATCAATTAAATAACAAACAACAAAAAAGTTTCCTAACCTGGATAAGGAAAAATTCACACAAGTTCAGGAAGTACAGAGAGTCCCAATCAAGATGAACAAAAAGGACTCATGCCAAGACGCATATTAAATCAAATGGGAAACTTTAAAGATTAAGAGAGAGAAAGAGAGAGAGAGAGAGAAAGAGAGAGAGAGATCTACATCAAAGTTCCCAATAACTGTCAGCAGATTTCTCCACAGAAATACTTCAGGCCAGAAGGTACTGGCCTGAAGTATTCAAAGGAATGAAAAATATGGACATGAATCAATGACTACTCTATCCAGAAAGGCTATCATTTAAAATTGAAGGCAAAGGAAGTTTCCCAGACCAAAAAACCCCAAAACACTAAGGGAGTTAAATACCAATAAACCAGCATTCCAGGATAGGTTATAGGGTCTGCTCTAAGAAGAAAAAGAAATAGAGACAAAGAGAAACACTGGTATTAAAAAAAGTGGCAATAAATAAGTACTTGTCAATAATAACCTTAAGTGTAAATGGATTAGATGCTCCAGTGAAAAGACAAAGGGTAGCTGAATGGATAAAAAAAACATGAGCCGTACATATGCTTTCTACAAAATACCCACCTCAGAACAAAACATTTACACAGACTGAAAGTGAAGGGTTGGAAAAAAATATTGCATGCAAATGGAGACAAATAAAAGAGCTGGAACAACAATATTTATGTCTGGCAAAATAGAATTCAAAACACAGGCCAAGCCGAAACCGGATAGAACGTCGGTCTGTGGACTGAAAGTTCCCAGGTTCGATTCCGGTCAAGGGCATGTACCTGGGTTGCGGACACATCCCCAGTAGGAATATGTGCACAAGGCAGCTGATCGATGTTTCTTTCTCATCGATTATTAAAAAAAATAACAGGCCAAAAAGAGACAAAGAAGGTCACTACATAATAGTAAAAGGATCAGTCCAACAAGAGTGCATTACCATGGTATACATAAATACACCCAATATAGGAGCACATAAATGAATATATTTAAAAAAAACACTTCTTGGTGTACTATAAGAGAGAGATTGAGAGCTAGAATCTAGTCATAGTAGGAAGTTTACTATCCCACTGTCATCACTGGATAGATCTTCTAGACAAAAAAATCAACAAGGAAACAGTGACCTTAAATGACATACCTGAATAGATGGATTTAATTGATGTTATCAGAACATTTCATCTCAAAGCAGAAGATTCTGCATTCTTTTGAAGTGCTTGTGGAACATGCATAAAGATTGATTACATGTTACTACATAAAATAAGTGTTAAATTTGAGAAATTCGAAAACATACTAAGGATCTTCCCAGATCACAATGGCATTGAAATAGAAATAACTACAATAAAAACACTCAAAAACATTCCAACAGATACAGTCAAAATAGCATGTAATTAAACAATTAATGGGTTACCAATGAGATCAAGGAAGAAATAAAAAAAAATTCTGAAAACAAATGAAAATGAAGAAACAACAATCAGAAATTAATAGAACACGGAGAAAAGCAATCCTGAAAGTGAAGATCATAGAATTATTGGCCTACAACAAAAATTAAGAAAAATATCAAATAAACAATCTCACCCTACCACCTAAAAAAACTAGTAAAAAAACAACAAGAATAGCCCAGAGTAAGTAGAAGGAAGGAAATAATGAAAGTAAGAGTGCAAATAAATGACACAGAGACAGAAAAAGAAAGAAAGAAAGAAAGAAAGAAAGAAAGAAAGAAAGAAAGAAAGAAAGATCAATGAAACCAAAAGCTGGTCCTTCAAAAAGATAACCAGACTCATCAAGATGAAAATAGAAAGGGCCAAAATTAATAATATCAGAAATACAACAATTTGTCCAAAAAATTGGAGAACTTGGACAAAGTATGACAATTCCTAGTCTGGCCAGCATGTCTCAGTGGTTGATTGTCAACCCATAAACCAGGAGGTCAGGGCACATTCCCATGTTGTGGGTTTGATCCTCAGTGTTGGGTGGGGAGGGGGCAGCTCGTCAATGATTCTGTCTCATCATTGATGTTTCTATCTCTCTCTCTGTCCCTTTCCTTTCCTCTATGAAATCAATAAAAATATATTTTAAAAATGACATTCCTAGAAACATGCAATTTTCCAAAACTGAATCAGAAAGAATCAGACAACTGGAATAGACCAATAACAACTACTGAAACTGAAGTAGTAATAAAAATAAATAAATAAATAAATAAACAAATAAACAAATAACCTAAGTTTAAAAAGTTAAAGAAAAATAGTAGAGGGAGACTGCACCATCTTGAAGGGGACAGTGGCTGTTATTGGAAGCATATACATCCAGGGACACTGCAACCACTACACCCAGGGACCAGCTACGAACCCAAGAACACCAGATCTCAAGCAGCACGAATACGTGGACCTGGATAAGCCCTGCTCTTCCTCATGGAAAGGTCAGATTCCGCCTAAGGAAAGGTAAGGTCTGCAATCCAGGCTGGAGAGAGGAACACACGTAGGGGAAGTCAGTGCCCCACAAAATCCGTGGCCTTGGGGGCCAGCGTTATCCTGGAATGTAGAAGGGGATCTTCAGGACTGCTGGCAGAAGGGAACTCTAAAAATCAGCTCATAGCTGGACTGGGCTCAAAAAGGCAGCCTCAGATTTTACCAGGGTGCCAGTTGCTTAGTGCAAGGAGAAAAAGAACCTGCAGAAGAGAATTGCGTCCAGAGCTGGATGGTAAAAATTGCGAGCACACACATTTACTTTGGCTACTTTTTTTCTCTTTAAATCCTTGATTTTGATTACTAAACCCAATACATACGATCACCCAATTGGGGACACTCACAGAGACTGCAGGGGAAAGTTGTTTTTGTGGAACCTGGGGATCAAGGCGGGTAGTAACGATCAGGGAACCAGCTCTGGAGCAGTCGATTCTCCCAAACCAGTATTAATTGTGACAGGGAAAACAAAACCTAAATACTGGATAGAAAGGACTTATAGCCCCGGAGGTCAATCTAGAAACACTGCCACCCAGGGGCTGAATCACAAATTGACTCTTCTGTAAATATGAATAAAGGCAGTCTGGGAAACAAAGAAATACTGCCTGCTTTAAAACCAGGACTGTGGTTTACAACATGGAGGAACAGTGTATCGCAGGGTACTTCAACACTCTCCTGAATA